AGGGGTCACCCCCGGGGGACCGGGGGGCACCGGGGGAAGGTGTCGTGTCGCAGGGGGAAGGAGTCACCTCGGGGGACCTGGGGGGATGGGGCGAAGGTGCCATCTCATGGGAGGGAAGGGGTCACCCCGGTTGGTCTGGGGCACTGGGGGAAGGTGTCATGTCACGGGTGGGAAGGGGTCACACCAGGGGACCAGGGGGGACCGGGGGAAGGTGTCATCTCATGGGTGGGAAGGGGTCACCCTGGGGGACAATGTCGTCTCATGGGTGGGAAGGGGTCACCCCAAGGTGTCTGGGGGGACTGGGAGAAGGTGTCATCCACCAGGGTACCTGGGGGGATGGGGGGAAGGTGTCATGTCATGGGGGGGAAGGGGTCACCCTGGGGGACTGGGCGACGATGTCATCTCACGGGAGGGAAGGAGTCACCTGGGGGTGTCTGGGACACCGGGGGAAGGTGTCGTCTCACAGGTGGGAAGAAGTCACCCCAGGGGACAGTGTCATGTCACAGGAGGGAAGGGGTCACCCCGGGGTGTCTGGGGCACTGGGGGAAGGTGTCGTCTCATGGGTGGGAAGGGGTCAGTCTGGGGAACCAGTGGCCAGAAGCCCAGAGGTGCCATGGTGACCCTGTTGGGGGACAGTCCCTGGGCAGGAGGGGCTGTCCCCTAGAGCCACCCTGTGCCACCCATCCCCGCGCCGCCGGAGCTTGTCCCTGAGCCCTTCGGTGCCTGGGTTCAAGTGGGGACCTGGCTGCTGTCCCCAGGGAGCCCCTCGCAGGGCACCCCGTGTGACAGGAGGTCCCCAGTGCTGTTGGGGGGACTCCAGTGCCTGGGGGGATGGGGGGAAGGTGTCATGTCATGGGGGGGAAGGGGTCACCCTGGGGGACTGGGCGACGATGTCATCTCACGGGAGGGAAGGAGTCACCTGGGGGTGTCTGGGACACCGGGGGAAGGTGTCGTCTCACAGGTGGGAAGAAGTCACCCCAGGGGACAGTGTCATGTCACAGGAGGGAAGGGGTCACCCCGGGGTGTCTGGGGCACTGGGGGAAGGTGTCGTCTCATGGGTGGGAAGGGGTCAGTCTGGGGAACCAGTGGCCAGAAGCCCAGAGGTGCCGTGGTGACCCTGTTGGGGGACAGTCCCTGAGCAGGAGGGGCTGTCCCCTAGAGCCACCCTGTGCCACCCATCCTCGCGCCACCAGAGTTAGTCCCTGAGCCCTTCAGTGCCTGGGTTCAAGTGGGGACCTGGCTGCTGGTCCCCTAGAGCCACCCTGTGCCACCCATCCTCGCGCCACCAGAGTTAGTCCCTGAGCCCTTCAGTGCCTGGGTTCAAGTGGGGACCTGGCTGCTGTCCCCAGGGAGCCCCTCGCAGGGCACCCCGTGTGACAGGAGGTCCCCAGTGCTGTTGGGGGGACTCCAGTGGGAGCAGCACAGCTTTAGGAACTCATCAGAAACACGGTGCTTCCTCCTCTGCCAGGCTCGTGGAGGTGGCAACTTCCATGCCCAGCTGGTGGCTGGGGGACACGAAGGTCCCGCCGTGCCCATCAGCCTGGGGTGGTCACCTCGTGGTGCTGTGCCACCGTCCCTTTCTTCCTGCCTCACCTCCCTTTCAGCACAGCTTTCAGAGCACCCCAGGCAAAGGTCTGGTGGCATGGCCACGTCCCCTCTAGTGTTGTCCCTGCGTGTCTTGTCACCCTCATCTGGGTTCTCTCTGCTGTTCCGGGCCACAGCTTTGTCCAGGAAGGGTAGTGTCCCCCCCCAGGCACTGATCCTGATCACTCTGCTCATGGAGGAGATGTGTCCCCTTGAGGGACAGCCCAGCACGGGGCTGGGAAGGATGGTGGAAGCTGCAGGATGAATTTAAGGTGGGAGATGTGGTTAAGGTGAACCTGGGAGGGGAGCAGCCACCAGGGACGTGGGGATGGACCTGCTCTGCTGAGGGTTCTGTGGGAGGGATGTGGGGTGGGGGCCTTGAAACAGGAGGGTCCCACATGGGACGGTACATGAGGGCATGTTTGCTGATGATATAAAACTGGGAGGGGTGGTTGACACCCCAGAAGGCTGTGACACCATCCAGCGAGACCTGGACAGGCTGGAGAGTTGGGCAGAGAGGAACCTGATGAACTTCAACAGAAGCAAGTGCAGGGTGCTGCACCTGGGGAGGAATAACCCCCTGCACCAGGACAGGGTGGGGGTGACCTGCTGG